AGTTAGACAGTTATTGATTTTTCTACATATTCAAACTTTAACTGTCATGTACAGCGTTCATTTCCCCTGCAAATGTTTGGCCTGATGACGAGTTGCTGAAAACATAGTGTTTGCCATAAACTGAATTTTTTAAGTTATGTAACCGTTGGCCATGCCAAGTTTCGGGGCTTGCAGGAGGTTCTTTTGCGCGCACAAACCCGGCTTCCTCAACTGGATCTATCAATTTTTTTTAAATTTAAACCTCCCCTGTAAATGTATGGCCTAACGAGAATTTACCGAAAGTGTACACTCGCCAAAATTTTGTTCTGAATTCAATAAATCTTGCTGTTTACGCTTGTTTTAAACTAGACACTGTTTTGGGCCAAGCTCAGAACGAGAAATAAGCAGTAATATTGGTCTTGGCTTGCAATTCTTCGCATTGGAGAACTGTTAGTGGGTGAGGTGAGTCAGAGTGTCTTTTCAAAGATGATGCCGCAGTCGTCTAAGTAAACTATTTCACCATCGACCAAGCCGCTCGTGGGTTCATTTGCAAACCCAAGGTAGATGTTACAGCCCACGTTGTAGATGCATAGGCATATGTAACGCACAAGGGTTTTCTCATAGCATCTTTTCGTCATAATAGGCGTCATAAAGCAGTGTATGTTATTGACTAAATGTATCCTCTTTTCAACTCGGTTTAGGCAGTTTGCTCAAGGTGACGAACATTGAAGAAGCGGAGCCCTGGGAAACCCTCAAACGGAGGTTTTAGAGCACCGCAATTCAGGAGTTAGTAACATAGATAGGGTGAACGGTTGCAGGTTATGACCTAAGCCGAAAAGAAGCTAGAAGTTAAAAAAAGACTGAGCAGCAGGATTTATTGGATCTAATAAAGTTCGCAACGGTTATTCAACTGCAACACAATAAATAAGAAGCAAAATCTCGTGCATAATCTTTTTCAAAGGGTGAAGAATATTAACTCCAGTGAGATCCTAGCTGCACAGGGTTTCCGTACAAAAGCAGCCGTTCTTAACCGTGGTTATCCTGCACGCTCCACTCTAAAGAACCGGAATCATTTACTGCCAAAATTGACTTAACATTCAGTTCCGAAAAAGTCCGTTATTGTATCTTCACCCTTTACGGGTGATAATATTTCGAACACAATCAAGTGACGCTTCTGTTACATCATACAAAAACCGTACAGCGCAAGTGAACTCGTCTTTGTCAGCTATACTAAAAGCCTTGCTAATACAAGCCTTACAACGAAACGGACAAATGGTGTCTTGCTTTTGCATGCCACTCCATCGAAAATTTAAAAAAAAGTTTCTAGACAAACTAAAATGAATCAAAGTGTCAGCTGACGAAATCATGGTCTCATTCGATGTGGTCTTGCTCTTCATCTCGATCCCTCTAGATTTAGCGATACGCTGCCCCGAAGAAGTACTCCAGATCCACACCACTGACCTATTAGATATTTATCTCCAAACCAACTTGTCCTTTTTGGATCAATGCTACCAACAACTTAAAGAGGTCCACATGGATTTGCCCATATCCGGCTTCCTGGCCGAAGCTTTAATGCAGAAGTTAGAATCAATAGCTTTCCCCATAACCAAACCAAAATTCGGGCTGTGCTATGTAGTTGATACGTTTGTCATCATCAGGAAGAATGATTTAGACCTCCTCCACAAGAAGCTCAATTCCATATTCCCAGGAATTGAATTTACATTCGAAACGGAGGTGTATGGAAAATACCCATATCTGGATGTCCTTGTTCATCAAAATACTGATGGACCACTCCGTACATCAATTCACCGTAAACAAACATATTCAGAGATCATCCTACATTTTAAGAGCAACCACCCAGTCTCCCGCAAAAGGAGTTCCGTCTACAGCCTCCTCAATCGAGCTTACACACAGTGCTCTGATGACGAAGGTTACCGAGAAGAAATGAAATAGCTTTTTCAAATATTCTCCAAAAATGGACATCCACGAAATTTCGTGTTTCAGTGCACAAAATGACAAAGACTCCAAAGCTGAGCAGGTATTGAAAACACTAACCTGTCGAACTCGCACATACGTAAAAAATGTATCTAAGCTTGTCGAAAGACAACTAAGAAAACACCAGATACAAGTGGCACACCAACCCGCAATCACCTTACTTTCACAGCTTGTACACCCTAAGGACAGGGTTGGTTATCTTGAAAGGAAAAGGGTTGTCTACAAGATTCCGTGTTCCAGTTGTGATGCAGTTCGTTGTGGCCAAACTGGGAAATACGCCTCAACCCTCATACACCAACATCAATCAGCGGTCAGAAGACGAGACCATTTATCCCAGGTGGCCATGCACACAGTGAAAACCGGCCACAAATCCGCATGGGAGAACATACGGATTGTCGACACTTATCCAACTAGAATAGGCCATGAATTTCTGGAAGTAATGCATTCAGACGAGGCATGAATCAACAGGCATATTGATTTGGACGCCAGCTCTAATGACCCCAAGGACAAATTCAGTGCGCGCCGCCAAACACAGCAGAATAACAAAATGCACGTAACGCCTGCTAGCGCAGACTGACAATCCTGCCAATAGGTGTACACGTCAGATGAATATTGATTTTTCTGGACGTTTAAAATTTTAATTGTTTGTTGCGCATTTTCTCACGTCTGAAGACGAGCG